AGAACTTCATGAATTTCAGACTCTTCTTGGGCCCACCTTTGTTTGGTAACTGACTCGGTCTCACTGATCTGACCCTGCTCCACACCACAATGGGAGTGAAGGCGATTTATTCCAGTGTGCCTGATGTCCCACAGAATCCCACAGACAGTGTTAGATGTTCTGAATTACCCTCCAAGTGCCAGGTCTAGGAACTTATTTCTTATCTCTCATAAGCTCCTTGTGCCCTGTTACAAGGTAAGACACTGAGATATAAAACACACATCTCTGTCAGTGATGCAGGACAATATAGAAGGTCAGGTATTCAGCCTGGAAGAATTTATCACCATCCTGTGCAGAATGGGCCATGGAAAAACTGAGTTCACATGAGTTAGGAATCTTGCATCACATGGTAGAAGTCCATGCAGAGCAACAACTGTTAACACCCACCCACACACCCACACACAAAAGCCAAAACCCCAGAAGTCTGATATTCGTGGGCCACAGGATGAAAGCAGGCACTACTAGACATCACCACTGCACTACCTTCTCCTGCATTTCTTTATATACTCACCCCAAGTATTTCTTTCCATGCCCCTCTGAGGAGGAGAGCAGAGAAAGAATCTACATTTGATAAGATGTAGAGGGCCACAAAGCAGCCAGCCAAGGGGAAGTGAGGGGCACAGAGGGAGAAATAAGTTAAGGGAACTGAAATAACATAAACAGGCTGCCAGATGCCTTTTGTAAATTTACGCATTGAAAATAAGTTTTTTACCAGGGTCCCAGAGTTTCAGAGAGGCCTGGGCTACTTACAGTTTTGGGGACGGAATTCCCTAAATGAAGAAATTCTGAAGCTTCTTCAGAACAGCTAAGGCGTATTTTCAGTGTTCACCATTAAAAATTAAAGTTGAATGCTGCCTGTATTCTGCTTTCATGCCTGTCATTTTGTCACTGGGGAAATGTGTATAACCTCATTTCAAAATAAGGCTATATTTAGGGCCTCTGATGAATGTAAGATAGAGCCAATGAGTTCTTCATTTCAACCTCTCCTGTTCATATTCATAGGTCAAACTTTTCTTAGAGTGAAAATAAAATATGCAAAAGGGAGAGATAAAGGAAAAAAAGGAGAAGAAAGAAAAAAGGAAAGGATACAAAGTGTGGATGACTTAGAATGGATTTTCGAGTAGAAAACATTATACAGATATTTATTTATTAATTGACAAAGGCCTGGGTGCTGTTGGAGACATGAAATAAAATGGCAAGTTTTGCTTGTTGTCCTCATACAGCTTAAAGCATGAGAAAGAAAACAAACATGTTTCAAACATAGGCCATAGCTAAATTGTGTGATTATAAAATATATCATCAGTAAGATTTAGGAGAAAAGAGAGGTTAATACAGATGACCCAATTTTTCCATTTGTGCAATAGGAGGTACTAATATTGTTTTATTTAAATATTACCATTAAAGCATTTAGTGTGCTTGACAGAATAAGCATCTAGTCACATTGCTTATTAACTCATTAAAATTTATAAAAATGATATGAAAATCCTTGACAAATGGTAAAAGGCAATCAAAAGAAATTTTACATAAGAAATAAAATTTATAGCAACCATAGTGTATTATTTAATAGTTGCTAAATTATCAATGGGATAAAAATTACACAATTTTTCAAGGTTATGACTAAACTGACCGTTTTTGTTGCTAGTGATAAAAACATTCAGACTCCTTGGGTAAACCATATGGTAACACATAATAAAATTCATTAAAAATAGTCATGTAATTTGATCAAGTAATCTGAGATTAGCATTTATCTTTAGAAAATATAAAGGCAAAATTGACAAGTAGTAGGAAGTTTACTGAAATTATAGTTCTTTTAGTATGAAAATGGACTCATTTTAAAAATCAAATATAAAAGGAGATTGTGAAAGATTTGGTATAGTATGGCCCATCAACAAGGTGGTATGTCATATGTTACTGAACAAGGTGATTATTTATACAATGTTCCATTTATAAAATATTTATGATAAAAACAAAAATAAATCCCACATACTTAAATTGAGAAAATACTACTCTCTACACTGTCTTAGGACTTCACTCAAATTATTTCCTTAAAAATACAAGACACTCAATAGGAAATAATTAAAAATTATGAATAGTCAGTTTCAGAATAAAGAATGATGCTCAACTGTAATGCAATCAGTGGAATACCAGCCAAAGCAAAACTGAGGAAACATCATATGGTTTTCAACTTGGCAAAATTCGGAGCATTGGATAACGAATGCTGGGTGCTGATGTGATTATTGGGGAAATGGGACCCCTCCATCACTGCAAAGTGAACTGGTATGAATTAGGTCACTTCATTCAGGAGAAAGTCTGGAAACAGCACGTGTGTGTGACTTATCACTAAGCAGTTCTGCACTCCTGCATTTATGCCCGAAAGAATTCTAACATGTTCAAAAGAGACAGATATGTGTGATTACACTGCTGCTTGGGATGAAAGGCATTGTGGAAAATTTAGGCCTGATTTTAGGAGATTGTGCAAATAGAAAAATGGGCAGTGATCAGCAGCAACAATGAATAGTTGAAGAAAAGAAACATCAATAGGTTTAGAAGATAAAAATATTTCTGCAGCGCCAGCATTTTGGAGCAGTGGATTAAGCCACCCCTTGCAACACCAGCATCTCATATCTGAGTGCCAATTTGAATCCAAGCTACTTTATTTCCTGTTCATCCACCTGGGGAAGCAGGACATGATGGTAGAAGTGCTTGGGACCCTGCCACCTATGTAGCAGACCTGGATGGAGTTCCTGTCTCCTGACCTCAGCCTGGCCCACCCCTGGCTATTGGGGCTATTTAGGGAGTCTTCCAGCAGATGAAAGATACCACTCTCTCTGTCATTCTGTCTTTCAAATAAATAAGTAAATCTTTAAAAAAAATGCTTATGCAATATAGAACATATGCATACAAACTACTCATTTTTTTGAATCCACATCTATAGTCAAATACCTGTGTGGACAGTTGGATTTAATGAACACATTAAATACATTAGAAGGGTGGTCTACAGTTAATTGAAATGAGAATTGGAGACTGAGAATAAAATAAAATCTGCTAAAGGTCTTGCCCAGAATGATGATAACTCAAAGCCACATAAGCAGGGCATAATCAACTCAATTCTTTACCTGGGGTGAGGGGAAAAATAAACCTAAATTTTATTTAACTTTATATGGAAAAAGTTAAAAGAATGCATAATGTTATATAAGCTGATTGAAATAACAATAGAATAGAGCACAAACTAATGTTTACATGAATTTAAACTGTAACAGAAATCGTATGCAAACTGATTAAAGTAACAAATACACAATGGTACTGTCTGAAACTACCTAAAATGTGTTTGCATTGAATGACTGGGGGGAGGGTCCTATTCTGCTTCTAGCATCCTTCTAACGCTGCTTCTAGAAGAAAATATTGCTAGATTGGCTTATAAATGGATTATGGACACGTATACTTTGTAAAATCATCATGGTAGAGCAGCATTATTTTTGGGGGGTGAATTCCTTTCAGATCTCCTCCCCTTCCTTGTATGTGACTGGAGGGTAAGACTGACCAGTGCTGTCAGTTTGGTCTCCTATCAAGCCCCAGTGAAGCGCTGATGTGACTGAAATAGGGAAGACCTTGGGGACTTTTTCTCCACATGGCTAATCAGGTAAGAAAGGGTCTCGGATTATGCATGTAAGGAGAGATTTTGATAGCAGCAGTCTTCCTGAGTTGATATAGTCCAAATAAGGCCCAGCATAAGGAGGGCACTCATGCTAGGCCAGTCAGGTTCATCTGCCCCTTGTTGCCCTTTCAGATCCTCATGCACAGAGCCAGTTCTCCACTGTGGTAGGAGTGGAGATGGCAGCCCCATCTCGTAAAGCGGCCCTGAAATTGACCTTGTTTCCTGTGAACCTTTGTCTTGGACCTTTCAAGAAAGCCTCTGCAGAGATCAATTTATGAGAAAACCCAAGGTCTTGTTTTCTATCCCAGAAAATAGAGCAGAAAGTAGAGCTTGTTAAAAATTAAAATAGCTATTTTAAATAGAGAAATGATTGATGTTCATTCCTCAAATTTTATTCCACTTAAATAAACATATAATCCATTATAGACATTAAAAAAGTATTTTTGTTCTTTAATATTTTCCAGAGTATTATTCTGGTAATGAATTTTATTTTACACTTAACAGGTGTACTACTGCATAGCTCCTTAGTACATTTATCCTATATGGTCTTAACTGTTAGCAATACACTTGTGTGTAAAAGCTTTGTCTTCCAGTTTGAGCATTTTCTATATAGTTTTTTACCTTGTATATCACCTAACACAAAGCTAAGTAGATGGTAGGATTGATAACAAAAATAGCAAAAATGGAGGTGATCATTTCTAAATACCCCAAACATGTAACATAATTAGCCTATTTTTCATTTCTCAACTCTCTTATTAGCTTTATTATTTATTATTTTATATATTATATATTATTATTATTTATTATTTATATTATTGTTGTCAAGGGAATTTCTGTTCTATTTTAAAATTTCTCTCACCTACCTTATGTTCATGATTTTATTCTTCTTTTACTTATCGAAAATGACTTTTATTTTGAACTATAAAAGAAGATCAAGTACTTCATTCTTCAAAATATCTGCCTAATGTAAAATAGGGAGATTTTTATATATTGCAAATGAGTCCATTAATCTCCTAATCTTTGAACCCTGAATCAAGATCCATTAATCCATTTTTTTGGTAAGATTTCCAGTCTTTAGAGAACAAGAAGCACTTCATTTATATGTTCTGTGCAACAGTGTAGAATGTAATGACTTTCTTTGAAACTGATAATTACATTAAAAACAATGTTGGACACAATCATAGCAGAGGGGGGCATTCGGGTCTGATAACATTGGGGACTGATTCCCAAATAACAGAAGTGACAAAAGTTGAGGATATGAGGAACTAGTTTAGTCGTAAAAAAGGAGTTAAAGGGCTTTTATTACCTTAATTTCTTTCCTCCATCTGCAATTTTAGCTTTTTGAAGATAACCTTTTTTCTCAAGCATCTGCAAAAAAGAATGCATACGTTACAATGGACAAAATCCTCTGGGTTGCTGGTCTGAATGAACATATGCTTTCCAACAGTCATCATGGCGATTGAAGTTTCTAGTCATGGCGCTCCATTAATAGTGAATGTACAGCTTGTGGGAAGGGCCTGTAAGATCACTGTCATTACAAACATTTAAATATCCAAAAGACAGATGATGAAGAATGTGTATTAGACAGTGATATACACCTTACTCAGTTTCCATTCTGGGCATTGAAGTCACATGCTAAAAAACAATTCAAAATGATAAAACAAAGACAAATTTAATGGCCTCTTTGATTTTACTGAGCATCCTTGGAAAAGTTCTTTCTTTCTTACTTCCCCCCATGCTCCTCCTGAGGCCAGAGAAAATGAAAAATTCAGTGGAACCAGATAAAAGCCAGTTGAATTATGGAAGGGCATTTAAAACAGCAAAATTAAATGTGCTTTTGTCAGTTAACAAGAAACACTATAATGTTACTATCTCACTGCCTTCTTCCACGATGTAAAATCGCTTCCTTTTCCTCTCTGTATGTATGGGCTTTCATTGTTAACACAGTTGCACATTTCTTAAAGAAATAATTTCTTATCACAGAAGTGTTTGTGGAGTTATTGGCAAAACAAATGTGCAGTGCAAATTATGATGTGTTGACCCACAGCAGAGTCTACAATACGTGTTTTCATGTCTTAACTCCCTATTTCTAGCCTCTTGTCTGCTCTACGTGCTCTATCCCAAGTCCTTAGCCCCATTTCCATCTTTTCTCTATTGGTGAATTTCCAACACCTTGTCATACATGCTACATGCTACAAGCTTTATGAATTCACCTACGTTAGAGCTGAAGGCCATATTCTCTCTGGGTCATTCTCTGATTGTTATCCTCCACTTTTACCTTGCCCTCATCTAGGAAACTCCTGAATATATTAAATCTACTTTACAATTCAGTTTGTGTGGCTTTTGTGAGAGGCTCTTTCCATGATTCTTCTGGAATTTCTTTCAGGCAGCCCTGAGTTGAATCTCAATTTTCATACTGCCATTATCACTGTGGTAAAACTCATTAGATCATATTCTAAGTGTCTGCTTTCTTGTCTGTGCCTGCACCTGTGAGGCCAAGGATCATACCTTCCACATCTGAATTCCCAACTCTAGAGAAGCTAGGAGCACTGATGAGACATACTTTTACACCAAATGAATTAAAGGATGAAAACTTTATAGGAAAAATACATGAAAGTTTTAAAGAAAACCAATCAAGCCAAAAAACAATTCATTTTCTTTTTTTAAATTTTTTTATTTTTATTTTTGACAGGCAGAGTGGACAGTGAGAGAGAGAGAGGGGGAGAGAGAGAGAAAGGTCTTCCTTTACTGTTGGTTCACCCTCCAATGGCCGCTGTGGCCGGCGCTGATCCAAAGCCAGGAGCCAGGTGCTTCTCCTGGTCTCCCATGCGGGTGCAGGGCCCAAGCACTTAGGCCATCCTCCACTGCACTCCCAGGCCACAGCAGAGTTGGACTGGAAGAGGGGCAACCGGAACAGAATCCGGTGCCCTGACCGGGACTAGAACCCCGTGTGCCAGCGCCGCAGGCAGAGAATTAGCCTATTGAGCCAAGGCGCTGACCAGCAATTCATTTTCAATATGAACATATGAAAGAGATATTTGGTGACAATGAAACATGCTGCACCACTAACATCTCACCAGTTGAAGGATTTCTGGTTTATAAGGCTTATTCTGACATAGGCGAGATCTTCTCTGATATGTAGCACAGTAGTTAACTCAGAATATATTTTATGAACAAATTTTTGACTGAGTAAATAATGAAGGTAATGATGATTATTTATGACAACCATAAGGAAATATTTGTTACATAGCCTCCCTTCCAAATTTCTCCACAAGACTAATGGAGTCTAAGAAAACTTTCTTGGATAATTTATAGAAACTTTTTTGTATTTGGATACACATAGTCACCAGATTTTTCTACCTTCAATTTCAGATATGCTTTTTCTTTATTTGGCACCAGGGAATTTTATTTGTCTATCCTCAAAACTCATATAACAAGTTCAGTGTTTAACTCTGAGCATCAGTGATTTCCAAAAATGTTGGGGGAGAAGATGTTTTTCTGTGGTGGAATGAGGAGGTGAAAAGGTCATGCCAAGATGGCCACTGGCAACAGAAACTGCCTGGCAACAGGCCATGATTGGATGGCTTTGGAAACTACATGACAACAGAGCCTGACTGACAGCAGGCCGTGATTGGATGGTTTCAGAAACTGCTTGGCAACAAGTGCCTGACTGACAACAGGCTGTGATTGGATGGCTTTGGAAACTGCCTGGCAACAGGCTGTAATTGGTTAGGGCATAGACCGCCCCTTGACCGGATTGGCTGCCTTGGCTACATAAGCAGCTGTAGCAACTGAAATAAATGAGTCTGTGGCTGATCGCCTCAGCCCGCTTTCACCCAACTCCCGGGGTCTGTGTGGTGACTCCGCGCCTCTTGCCCCCACCACACTCCTCCTCTCAGAATGAATCCTCACAGGAGAAATCAACTGCAACATTTTTCAGTAGCAATTAGCATCACAGAAAAGGTCCCCCTCTTTAGAAATGTACATTGAGAAATTTTGTTATGTAACCATAAACAAAATTTATTTTTTTATTTAAACTTTCTTCCAAAGAAAATAAAAGTTACCAAAAGCCTGCATGTATCTTACAGACACACACACACACACACACACAAAACCTGTCAACCCATTATAAAAATTGATGGATACACTCTAAAAAGAAAGCTGCCTCATTTTAAAGAAAATCACTAAAAGATCCCTGGGTGGACAATTGGTACCCACTGAGATGTATTATTGATGACTATTTCTCTAAAAGGAGAAGGGGAATGTGAAATAAAAAAGCTAATCCTCTTATAGAGAAGCATCAAAATAAACAGACTTGAGGCTGTATACCATAAAATTATTTCTCCTTGAAAACTTCACTAACTATCTCCAAGACACAATGGGGCATTTCCAAAGACACCTGAGGTTGAAGTCAAGTACTTGGTTCACTAATTGTGGCATCATTGCTATCAACAGCTGAACCTGCTCCCATGGTCTTGGACCAATGCAATGGAGTTTCCAGGAATGACCACACAGATCTCCCAGAAAAATAATGGAAGAGCTGGATAATAAGTCAGTTATCTTCTCCTGTACAATCTTCCAATCTCCAAACTGCTTTCTATGTCATTGTGAGAAACTAATAACCCTGCTTTTTACTGATACCTACTATATTATGTACGTTTTTCCACATCTACATGCGTCTGCCTGCACATTTCTACCTGCAAGTTGCATCCGTGATCTACCATCATGCATTTATTCTCACTTCTGAGATCAGGTATTAATTTATCTTCATTATCTGTTTTTTACTTGATTCATTCTTCTAACAAATTTTCAATTAGTAACATCTTCCTCTCCAAAACGCAGGTGCTTGGGTCACAAGGAAACTTCCAGGGTTAATAGAGCAATCTTAACCTGGCTGAAGCTAAACTGTAAGCTCACATTTAAAATATTCCTGTTCCTCTTTTGTGGAGACTGGATATCATACTCCCCTTCAGTTACTCTGTGAGCCTCATAATGAGCTGAAATAAGTATTAGGGCAAACAAAAGATTAACATGCATTTTGCATGTTGACTTATATGTGATATTATATTAATTATTCTGTTGACCTCTGTGTTAATATCATGATCTTAAGAATCAATGATCTATAAATTGCAGTTGACTAAGTTGTCCATCTGGGTCTCAAATGGTTTTTGCCATTATTAATTTCTAAAACTGTGTATAACATTTGATCTAAGTTTATATTCTACATGCCAAATTTTAGGCCAAATTGAAGTTCTTTAAAATGATAGCTGTTTCTAAACTATGTATCTGTATGAAATTTCAACTGATCTTTTGGGCCGGCGCTGCAGCTCAATAGGCTAATCCTCCACCTAGTGGCGCCAGCACACCGGGTTCTAGTCCCAGTCGGGGGCGCCGGATTCTATCCCGGTTGCCCCTCTTCCAGGCTAGCTCTCTGCTGTGGCCCGGGAAGGCAGTGGAGGATGGCCCAAGTCCTTGGGCCCTGTAACCCATGGGAGACCAGGAGAAGCACCTGGCTCCTGCCTTGGGATCAGCGCGGTGCACCGGCCACAGTGCACCACCCGTGGCGGCCATTGGAGGGTGAACCAATGGCAAAAGGAAGACATTTCTCTCTGTCTCTCTCTTTCACTATCCTCTCTGCCTGTCAAAAAAAAAAAAAAAAATTTCAACTGCTCTTTAGATGCTAAGTCTTGTTTCTTAAGCTGTTTATCCAGCGTCCCCTGAAAGCGCTATTTAACATTAAATGGCTGGGAAAATCAGCAATTTGTCCATATTGGATGCCAGCCAGTCTTCCAGCATTGAGGAAGTGTGCAGCTGACACATCCTTGCTGAGATACAGATGAGAAGAATGAATGGCAGCAGGAAACCCAGATAGCACCTGTTTATCAACCTACGTTGGAGGCAACAGACAAGGCAGGAAAGGGAAAGACAACCTTTGATTAATGGTAACAATCATGGCAGAAAGATCAGCCTGTAATCCTTTTAATAGACACTGCAATTTTTTATCTGAAGGCTTCATGTTGCTCTCAGACACAACTAAAACAACAGACTTTAACCTACACTAGTCCACCAAAAGAGTTCTCTTAACATTTATGTTTATAAATTGAAATGACCTGAATCTGAAATTTTCTTCAAGTTTTCCTGAGAAGTGTTTGGCTTTAACACCAGAATCATATGGACCTGATGCATTATTATATATTCTCTACTTATCAATTTAAGTTATTGATCTCTTTCCTTTTGTTCTAATTCTGGCAACCATCTGACTCCTAGTTCATTGTTCTGGTCCTTTGATGTAGAAGGTAGGTGACTTAAATAGCCATAAGAATCTTCCCTATAACACATTGTGACAGAGTTCCAAGGGGCCATCATTC